ACTTGTGCATAACAAGCAAACAAATAATGCAGAAAACAGATTTTTAGATGGGAAACTGTTCTTGAAGTACTGTGTGAGAGAGAGCTGTGCATGAAGTGGGATTTTTGTCGTGGTGGAAGCAAAACAGCAAAAGTCAGAGGGAATTCATGACGATGTTTATGTGAAGCCTAGTTTGGATCTTCTTTTGCTGCTGGTTCAGTCAATATTGTTTAGAGAGAGATAAAACCTACAGCTTCAGAATCAGCGCAAAAATGGCGTGAACATCCCGCCGAAACATCAGAATCAGCGAGCTGTCGGCTTTCAGCCCCAACCATGTCCGTGCCGTCAGGTGAGAAAGGCGACATCTTACTGATTCTGATTCGTCGGCGGGTCCGCGCTTTGTGTTTACGTCTTTGTGCAGAATCCGTGTTCCTGCTCTCATTTACTGTCTTAGCTATTTTGTGGTTTTTGAAATTTTGTGAGGTTTAACCTGAGATTTGGCATCTTGGGCAAAATTAATTTATATTTAAAAATCGATTCAGGATTTTAATGAATCCAAGGTAGAATCGATTTTAGTCGATAAATCGATAATCAAAACCCACCCCTAATCTCAATGGCTCCCCTTATTTGGGAAGATAAGGAATATTGAGGGATTTCTTTAAGCATGTGACATGAAGCAGAGATCAACAGTATTTTGGGGAGACATGATGCATCAGTGATGCAAGACTTCAATGAGAACATGGCAGCACGCCACTTGTTAGAAACCTTTTTTCAGTTATTAGTTTTTTTCACCAGCTTACTTCTAGTTTACTTCCCAAAGAAGGACATGGTAATGTGATGCCATCACCAACTCTTGCCACAAATGGCTGAGAAGGACCAAATAACTGAGACTGACCTGTATATAAAAAATAAATAAATCCAATTTTTAGCTGTAGTGTATATTCACAGCATGATGACAGTGTTTGCGCATCTGATGAAGGATAGTAGTGAAGATGAATTGAAGCATCTCTGATGTTGGTGAGTCATCAGACAGGCTGAGTGATATTTCCCAATATTAATATTGGCAAAGTATTAGAGCAGATATATTCTCTCATAGCTGGCAAAAAGTGCTGACTTCACAAACTGCTTTACACAAATTTGCGTCATCCTGAGGACTGTTTATGTAACACAGCCCTAAGCGGACAGCCAGAAATTATACCTGGTACTGACAAAACAGCATCATAGTATGTTTTCCTCTCTCGCTTCTGCCAGATCTGAAGACCAGCAGTAGTGTCACACTAAATCATCTCACTAGGGTGGAGGTGCCCCCTTGTAGTGTAACACACCACATGTTGAAGCTCCAACAAAAAACACAAAATTAAGGCCTTTGTTTAACAAAACACACCTGAAGACTTGTGCAATATACAAAATAACATCATATAATGTGACCACACATTACGGTGTGTCACATTTCAGAGCGTTCTCACTCCCGAGGCGTAACATGTCGACGTTTTGTCACGTCCCGCGGAGTTCCTGAGGAACGCGAAAGGAGACCTTCGGCGTTCTTATGGTACGCGGCGGGTTATGGCTGGAATCCAGTGCAATGACGCTCCCGCGGTAGTAGACGTTCCAGCCCTGTATTCCAGCCCTAAACCTAACCTTATCCCTAGCCCTGACCATAACCTTATTCCTGACCTTAACCAGGACGTTAATGATGTTAAATAGCATGTTTCTAAGCGATTTGAAGAAAAAGAGCGAACATGTGTAGATGGAGTCCAGACGGTTCTCATATTTCCTCTTTTTCCGAGGTCGTCATTTAGGAACGTGGTGGGTAGCCAAAAACGTAATATGGTGACGATTTGTCACCTAGCGTAAAATGTTACGCTTTGGGAGTGAGAACGGGTTGCACATTTACACTGCTATAGAAGAAGCTTTGTTGCTGCATCTTATGCTGGGACTTTTTAGAAAACAGAGCAACATAACAAATAACACATTCACACATAAAAGAAACTGATCAACAGTCACAGAGGGAATTTGTTTAGTGAAGTTATTCAAAAGTTGTTTTTTTTCATGAGTTTATTGAAAAATCATCACTCAGAGAGAATCCGGATTCATCTGATCCAAAGAGAACAAGCTTGAGACTGTCTTCTTATTGGTGGAACATATTTTTGTTCAAGAAAAGAATAAGAATATAACACATACTTGAAGTGCTCGGCCATTCATGAAGTAGCAGTACAACAACCTGTTTGTTCTTCTTTTGATTCAGTGCTTTTGTCTTGATGACATTAACTATGTTAGTTAATTAAACTATATTAAACTATGTTAGTTAGTTAAAACATCAATAACACGGTTCACTTTTAGCACTGACATACAAAAACACCTCCTGATATACAATACCAAAACGTGTCTGTGCTAAAGGCTGTAAAACACAAAACAACATATTTACTGGTCAATGACATATTCATGCTTTTTTTCTCTCAAGATCTTGTGAGTTTATCTTTGTGATCCTCTGACTCGTGTATCTTCAGCTTACAAAGACACAGCGAAGCTTCGTCTTCATCCACATCCTTACAACAAAACTGTTTTTGTGTTGCACCTCAAAGAATAATGAAGATCTATTGATTCTGATATTGAAGATCACCTTGTTTATTTACATATTGTTAATTTAATAAAAAACACTGTTACACTGACTTAAAATTATATGAAATATATAAAATGTAATATTGCTCTTTTTTTTCTTTTATTCATCAAAAGAGTCCTGATGAGTTTACATGATGTAATCGTTTTTTTAGTATCACTTTAGCCTGTGGCGCTCTCCAGTGCTGCTGATGAGGTCGATCTTTAGCTTGTCTGGAGAATCCCATATGGTCTTGCCCACCCACATCACATCAGCATTGTCAGGATATGGGTTCCTGCTACCGTCTCACCGTACCTGTAAATGTAGCCGATAAAAAGGTCACAGATGTCCAAGTGAAAAGTAATAATAAGAGAGACTAAAAGAAGAATCTAGTAACACAGAGACTCACAGTGAGTTCCTCTTTAGCTTTCAGTGTAAAGTTTTCTTTAAATGTGTATGTGGAGGTTCGGTCGCCGCGCTGTAGTTTTAACTTCCAACCTGCCATCAATATATCCTATAAAAGAGAATGAAAAAGGGGTGGGGGGGGCAATGATGAAGTTGACTTCATAGATGTTGTGTTTATAAATAAAAATGTGTCGTTTCCATCTTTGTGTTGTATCTACAAGTGAAAACGACCTTGTTTCACAAATATTTCTGGAAAAAAACACAAAACATGTTGTTTGTGTTTAGGTAGTACTCATTGTTCACCAGCATGCAAGCAGCAGTACCTCACTGGAAGAGTTTTTCAGACAGATATAGTCACGATGTCTGTCAACCTCGTCTAAAATAATGTCACCTCTCTGTGGTGTGTTAGGTTTGTTTGACTGTTGCTGAGAGAGAGAGACAAAAAAATCCAGATTAGTGTGTGACAGATGATGATGTAAAATAGTTGGAGCTTGTTAGAAAATGTGTTTGCTAAAAGTTGCAAAAATATTTAATAAACGTTAAATAAATAGCTAAGAAACTATGTTTATAAGAAAGAATTAATGCTAAGAAACACAAATATATTGTTGGTCTTAATATGAATCACAGAAGTAAGTAAACATTTTCATTCTTTCTCAGTGAGATGTTCATGATCCAGATTTTAGCTCTAGTCCCATGAATCACTGTAAGTCAGTGATGTGTTTGTCTCTCTGTATTTACCTCGTTCACATGTTCTGTGACGTTTAGTTGTTTTATCTCCTGATGGAAATTCTGTTTTTCATCCTTCTTCAACTTTGTGTCAGCCTTGGTGTTCCCCCGGATAAGCTGGAGATGGAGGTCTGGGCCTCTTTGCTTAGGCTGCTGCCCCCGCGACCCGGCCTCGGATAAAGCGGATGAGGATGGATGGATGGATGGATCCTTTTTCAACTTTGTGTCAGCTTCCTTTTTTTTCTCCTGATCACAGACAGTAGAAACTGATGTCAGAGGAAACTAGTCTGACCAAAACAGTTTTTTAAAAATGATTGCACTTTGTTTCCTTTCAAAACTTTGTGCTTTAATACAAATAAATATATTTCATGATGTTGTGTTTATTAAAAAGGGGAGATTTACAAAGAATTAAAAACTTGTGTCTTCATATTTTTTCTGTGTGAACTGTGAGACGAGGAAATAAGAGTCCAGAAAGTCTCTGTAATGTTCGGTTGTTTGGCTTTAACTTCTGTTCTGTGATTGCTGAATGATTTCGGAGGTTTTTGCAGCAAACCTTGAATTTCCTTCTCCGCTGTCTCTTATTGTGTGGATGTGAGTCTTTGTCTGTGTTTGTAAGAGAAATCTGTTTTTACACACTCAGTTTGGTCCTTGTTTCCTTTCCTGCCATTAAAAAGCCAATAGAATAAATAATAAATGTAAATGTGCTGCATGTTTGTTTGTTTGTGGTTGAGGACAGAGCGAGGTCCCAGTAAATGAATGTGTGTTTGTGCTGAAGTGTTCAAAACAACAGTCTGTGTGTGTTTACTTCTTTCTTCATGTTGCTGATCTCTGCATGTTTCTTCTGCAGGTGATGATGTTCCTCCTTCAGCTTCTCCTCAGCTGCATGTTTTTTCTCCAACTAACAGACAAACAGATCAACACAAAGGTTCAGCCTGAACAAAACTATCTGGACTGTCAAACATAACAGTCTGAACACGTCTCCAAAACTGTTCACACATTTTCTGTTTGCTTTCAAATCTCTCTTCCTTAAAGAGCTCAAACAGGAAATCTGACCTCTGACTGACCCTGAACTCCAATAACGTCACTGAATATGAGAGCAAGCTGAGGATTTGTGTTTCTATAAATATCTTTATGGTAAAAGAAACACGCATGTGTTCATGCACAGTTTATATAGAATATAAAATAAAATAATTGATAATCTGGTGTCTGTGTTTTTGTCACTTTATCAAAGTTTCAGTCCAGTTTTCAGATTACAAATTAAAATGCAAATGTTCCAAATACGAGAAAGAAACTGCTAAATGCAGTTAAACTATTTAAAAAATGGGAAAAAAAATGGTTAAACAACAAAAATGAACTAATTAAGTTATAGACATGACACAATGCTGAGACTCAATGTTATATATGAATCATAGAAATAACTGAAGTTTCAAATTCCTTCTTAATGAAATGTTCATAATCTGCAGTTTTTAATTCTAGACCCATGAATGACTATAAGTCAGTGAAGTGTTGAAAACCTGTGTTTGTCTGTCTGTATTTACCTGTTTCCAAAATTCCTTAGTGGGTGTTTTTTTCTCCTGCTGCTGGAAATCCTGTTTTTCATCCTCCTTCAACTTTTTGTCAGCTTCCTGGTTTTCCTCCTGATCACAGACAGTACAAACTGATGTCAGAGTAACTAGTCTGACCAAAACACTTTGTTCAAAATCATCAAAGTATTTCTGTTTCCTTTCATGATTTTGTGCTTTTATACAAATATACATTTATGATATCTTGTTTATAAAGAGTTAAATTGTTAAGATTAAAAAAATCCAACTTTATTTTTGACTCCATTCTTTTTTTTTTCCTTTGAACTGTAAGATGTGGAAATAAGAGTTCTGAAGGTCACTGGCATTTTCAGGTTTTTGGCTTTAACTTCTTTTCATTTTGAATTCTGTGATAAACCCTGTGACTCTGTTCCTGTGGAGGCCTCGTCTGCACTTTGTGAGAACTTTTTGAATTACTTTGTTGAAAAAGTTTCTGCTTTAAGGTCTCCACATTCACAGCCAGTTTAAGATGTAGATCCACCTTCCTAATGCAGTGAATATGAGAGCATGATGAACACTTCTATTTCTGAGAATATCTTTATGGTAAAAGAAATATGCATGTGTTCATGTACAGTGTAGATAGAATATAAAAATTATATCATTTAAAATCTGGTGTCAACGTTTTTGTAAACTTTATCAAAATTTGAGTCGATCTCAAAAGTACCTGGTAGCTGCTTGGTCGGGTTTGGCCCCCCTGGCCCTGAAGGGCCCCTGTTGGGGTGTGGGGGGCCCTTGGATCCTGGGTCTCTGGGCTCAGAGGTCGGTCTGCTGTGGTGCAGTCGGCTGCTGGCTGAGCCTGTGAGCTCGTAAACGTAGACTCCTGGGGCTTCTGCTCTGTGCCTGCTGGGTGTCTCCATCCAGCGCTCTCTTTTGCTCTTGTCTGATTCGTGGCCACAAATGTGCGTGCGTTTGTCCTTTTGGGGGTCTCATGCTCTGGGGTTTTCTGGGGCCTCTCCACTCCTGTGACATCTGGTTGTTTTGCCTCCTGCTGAAATTCCTGTTTTTTATCATCTTCCAACATCTTGTCAGCTTCCTGGTTTTCCTCCTGATCACAGACAGCAGAGACTGAAGTCAGAGGAAACTAGTCTGACCAAAACACTTCGTACAAAATCATCAAAGTATTTTTGTTTCCTTTCAGGAATTTGCACTTTGGTTTAAAAATTCCTTTTTTTTTCTGTGTGAACTGTGAGACGAGGAAATAAGAGTCCAGAAAGTCTCTGTAATGTTCAGGTTGTTTGGCTTTAACTTCTGTTCTGTGATTGCTGAATGATTTCGGAGGTTTTTGCAGCAAACCTTGAATTTCCTTCTCCGCTGTCTCTTATTGTGTGGATGTGAGTCTTTGTCTGTGTTTGTAATACAAATCTGTTTTTACACACTCAGTTTGGGTCCTTGTTTCCTTTCCTGCCATTAAAAAAACAATAGAATAAATAAGAAATGTAAATGTGCTCTATGTTTGTTTGTTTATGGTTGAGGACAGAGCGAGATCCCAGTAAATGAATGTGTGTTTGTGCTGAAGTGTTCAAAACAACAGTCTGTGTGTGTTTACTTCTTTCTTCATGTTGCTGATCTCTGCATGTTTCTTCTGCAGGTGATGATGTTCCTCCTTCAGCTTCTCCTCAGCTGCATGTTTTTTCTCCAACTAACAGACAAACAGATCAACACAAAGGTTCAGCCTGAACAAAACTATCTGGACTGTCAAACATAACAGTCTGAACACGTCTCCAAAACTGTTCACACATTTTCTGTTTGCTTTCAAATCTCTCTTCCTTAAAGAGCTCAAACAGGAAATCTGACCTCTGACTGACCCTGAACTCCAATAATATCACTGAATATGAGAGCAAGCTGAGGATTTGTGTTTCTATAAATATCTTTATGGTAAAAGAAACACGCATGTGTTCATGTACAGTTTATATAAACATAAAATTAAAATAATTGATAATCTGGTGTCTGTGTTTTTGTAACTTTATCAAAGTTTCAGTTCAGTAATCAGATTACAGGTTAAAATGCAAACGTTCCAAATAATCTAAACATTTTTGTTCTTTCTATTTCATAATCTTAACCTCATCAATAACCTGTAAACTATTCCCTCAGGATTATAAAAAGTATAAAAATATTTCACACAAACAAGAAGCATAAATGTGTTTAATAAACTTCTGCTAACCTCTGTTTTACTGGATTCCTCCTCTTTCATGTTTTTCTCCATCAGTTGCTGATGTTTTTTGAGAGCTGATGAGCCTCCAGACTGAGAGAAGACATGAACAGAATAATTTAGGTTGTTACATAATGTTCTGTAAAATGAAAACATGACAGAAAAAAATATTTGAATATTAGGATAGTAGAAAAATATCATCTATTCATACAGCAGAAGATGGCAACTATATATTTCCCGTCACATTATTCCTCTGATGATTTTTAACTCTTTTATTTTCATTTTATTGTCAGTAAAGTTGTCTCTTTCTTTTCTTTAAAAAGTTGTATATTTTATTTATAAACATTTTTTCCCCACAGTCATGAAATCTCTCATACTGTTTTTCCTACAGGTTTTGTTGTCTTGTCTGTTTCTGTCATATCACTCACTGGCTCGATGTCCTGTGTCATGAGTGTCTCCTGCTCTTGGTCTGGTTCAGTTTTTGTTGTTTCTTGTTTTTTTCGTAAGCAGTGAGGTTTCCTGACATCTGTTAAACGTTTAGACAAGAAAGTCAACATGATGTCGTCCTGGGCTTTCGAATGGTAACACATCATTTATCATCTCATTTTAATATGAATTAATTAAATATGCTGTATGTTTTCTTTTTAATGCAACACAAAGAGGTTTATATCTTTACATGTGTGTTGCTTTAACCCCTGTAGGCAAAACTTTAGATAATAATTTTGACAAGACGGTAAATTAATTTGTGTCTTACTTGTTTTGTTTCGTCTCCAGATGAAAAAAACTCCAATTAAAATCAAGATGATGCTTAGAGCCAAACTAACAACAACACCAATGATAATGGGAGCAGCAGAACTGGAGTTGAGCTGGAAGTATTCATCTGAAACAATAAAAACAGAATTACATGTTATTTTAAAAGATTCTTGTTCATTCAAACCAAAATCGAGCATATCATACATTTTATAAACTAGATTTACCTGGAACATGTATGTGTATCTCTCTGCTCTGGTTGGTGTTCCTCTGTTGGACTCTGCAGGTGATGTTGTTGCTGTGTCTCTTCTCCACAGTCACTCTGCTGCTGACAGTATAGAGGTCATCAGGACCTCTGAGGGTCTCTGTAGGTCCAGCAGAGAGGAGGTTTCCCTCAGCGTCCAACCACAGCAGCTCAGGCTCTGGATACCAGCCTGCAGACTCACACTGTAACACCACTCCACTGATGGCTTTATCAAGGTTTGCTAAGCTGATGACAGGTGAGGAGACAGCACCTGACGCTGGATGAAATGTACAATTTAAAATGCTGATCAGTAATGCAAATCACTAAAAATGCAATGGTAATATTTGAATCTGATACAGACTGCACTTTCCAAGCTGGTGTAACTCACTGGCTGAATCAAGGCATTATTGCAAATACTAGTCCAAACAGCTCTGTGCACACATATATAATTCATCCACTTACCAACCACAAGATCAATAAAAACTTCTTCATCCTTCTCTGGGATGTAACATCTGTATCTGCCCTGGTCTGCAGGTTTTACTTTGGATAGTTTCAGTGAAATGTTTCCATGTTTCAGCTCATCAGTGAACAATGATGATCGACCTATGTAGGATGGATTTTTCATATATATGAGGTCCTGACCTGCACGCCACAGAAATACAAATCTGGGGTCCAGGTCGGGTCTTGTCCACTCCGAAGTCATCACAGCAACATTTTCTCCAGGTACCAGGTGACATGGCAAAGTTATGTCTTTCCCAGCTGTTGCAATAATTGGCTGAGTTGGACCAATTAACCGAGACTGACCTGAGATAAAAAGATCATTTTATTAATTTCTTTATGAATGAGAACTTCTAAGAAATCCCGCTGAACCTCAATCGAGAGATCTTCTTTTTCTTTGTTAAATAATATTTCATAACAAATGTCTTACTTCCCCTAAAATATTCAACCTCTACATTTTCGTATTGTGAATTATAATGTAACGATCAAATTACAGATTCAGTTAGAATTTATAACCTAGTCACATTAGTCAAAGGTATAACTACTAGGTTACAGCTTTTAAGAATCAATAAGAACATTGAGAGATAACACAAAAATATTGACAAATTAAAACAAAAAACTAAACATTAAACATGGCAATTTGAGCCATAAATTTTATAAACACATACACACAAATAATTACTGTGACCTTATATGTGAAGGTACTTACAAAAATGTACAAGAAGAGGGAAAACCAGAAAACAGTTTCTGAGACAATAAAGGGAAAATCCAGCCATCTGATGATTTATGCTCTGAAAATGGAAAGAACAAATAATAACACAAAGAAACTGTTAGTAATAAAACAATAAAACATGGTCCGTTTCATACTTTCACATTCAATTCAAATGTCCTTGAGGTTTCTTTGATGGACACACAAATACCTTCAGTTCATTGTTCCATTGTGAATTTAAATTGTGTGAATATTGTCAGATGTAGAATACTGTACGATAAACTAAAACTATGTTTAGTACAACTTTTCATTGACATTTTCTGATACTAGGTCATAGTTGTAATATTTGTAAATGAAACATGCAAAACCAGATATTAAACACTTATTTATTTGATAAATATTGATCAGACAACAATTACCCAGTCCCCTGAAATGCAGAAAGTTTCAGCTTTTCCTCCAGAAATAACTTCGAAGTTATAATGTGTACCTCAATGTATTATGCTCTAAATGTAGACCTGCTATTCTGTACTGTAAGATGTATTTGGTGTATTTTGTATAAGATGGTATTTTAGTAAGATGAGAAAGTCAGTAACATATAACTTAGACATTAAAAATAAGATATAAAATACAACATACCTGTTGCATGAAGTGGCTCTCACCTGAAAAGAACATACAGTCTGAGTTAGTAAATCATTACTGAGTTAGTGAAACTCAGCATTAGTGAAACCAGACATTCAGTGTGTGTGTGCGTGCGTGTGTGTGTGTGTGTGTGTGTGTGTGTGTGTGTGTGTGTGTGTGTGTGTGTGTGTGTGTGTGTGTGTGTGTGAGTGTGTAACATCTTCCTCACGAACTTTGAGCCTGTCGCAAGGAAACTGGTCACTGTTATAAACAGGGTTGGACAGATCTGCTATGATACTTGCAGGAGCTTAAAACCACTTTTCTAATCAGGCAGGTGAATTAACCTGAGAGACTGAAGAGCAGCAGAAACTGTAAAATAAAAGAAAGAAAAAAGTTTGGCAGCAACTTGAATAGATGCAAACTGTTTGTGTTGCTGCTACTGTCCCATTTATGTGTTTAGAATTTATCAGTACACAAGCACTGCTCAAGCAAAACCTAGTAAACAAATGAAGAGATGAAGTTCTATTAATTAATTTGTTTCATCCAATAAAAAAACAAAAAAACAAATAATTTGTTTCATCCAATGTTGACATTAGCAATAATTTAGAATATCTGTGTTTGTTGTATTGAAACCCAAAGACGAGCGAGAATTTTAGAAAACAGGAAGATGATCAAGAGTTTTCAGAACATGTGCATTTTTGCCTATATATATATATAGATAGATAGATAGATAGATAGATAGATAGATAGATAGATAGATAGATAGATAGATAGATAGATAGATAGATAGATAGATAGATAGATAGATAGATAGATAGATAGATAGATAGATATAGATATAGATATATATGTATATACATGTATATGTTGGCAACATCTGAACTTGTTTCTCAGGTTTCTCCCTTCTCTGTTTCTCCTCCTGGAGCTGAAGAAAAAGTGAAAAAAAAGACTCATAAGAACAGACTACACACATGTTCTTTTAAAAGATCATAATACAATGAAATCACACCTCTCTTAAATTAACACGTTTTGTTTCTTGTTCTTGTTTGTCAACAGAAAGTCAGAAAGTAGCAGGTTGATCACATTAAACACATCACTTCAGCTGCTGTGCTACCAACCACTTCACAGAAAGTCACAGAGAGGAACACACAGAGTGTGTCGGTCTGATCATCGGGAGTATGACAGCCATCACATATGTCCATGATGATCTTTGTATACTCAGATACTTCCACTGACCTTTGATTCCAGTGTAAGGATCGTCTGCCTCAGCTTCGTAATGATTTCATCCTTCTCCATCTCAGATTTGATCATCTGTCAGAAATAAAGTCAGACAGATGTTGTTTCTGCAGCGCTTTGTTGATAAAAGTGACAAAATTATTGAAGCTTCACACTGTGAGCAACATGTTTCCAACCACAGTGCCTCAGAGTTAATATTGAAATACATGTAACGTGTTCTACAGCATAATGAACTGTGAGTTGATGCAATAAATGACGCTCAGATTAGGGTCAATCTTTTTCACACGAGTGTCTCTGCTCCTCTCCATCAGCTGCACCTTCAAAGCCAGCAAAACATGCACATAATGTCTGCAGGATGTGTCACACAGCAGCCTGACGCACAGCTGTAATTCAACAAAATGAACAACAGCAAGCTGCATAATTCATGTTTGCTCTAAATTATGTCAATGTTGAGGCAAGTGGTGATATTTCTATGAATTTTCTGTGCTTCCCTGGTCCTTTCTCTCTATAACTGGTTAACATAACCTCTGTTTGAAACAGCAGATTTTTGGCTCAATAAAAAGCTGGAGCAGAATTGATCCTTTAGATCCTGGAGACAATAAGGTTCTCCACCAGTGAGGAAAAATTATTTAGCAGATGAAGAACATGCTGGACATGTTTAAATATGTTTCATATGACAGTGACAGACAGCTGAGTATCAAATGATGAAATGAACCTCCTGTTTGTTGGACTCAAGCTGATCCCTGATGGTGTTTATTTCACTCTCCCTCATACTTTTCTCACTGATCCTGTCAGAAAGCTGCAATTGAGAAGATAAAATTAGAGAGATGAGATGAAAAAACATATTTTTTATATGTGAGTGATTAATTGAATGATTGTATTATATAGAATTAAGACCCTGATCATTTTGTTCTAATTCCTAAAGTTTCCTCCATAACTCTTTACAACACAGAGATACAGAGAGTTGGGTCAGTAAATTCAGGATATTTGTAACTGAAACACAAACCTCCTGATGTTTGGACTCCAGCTGCTTCTTCAGCTCCTCTAATGTTTCTTTCTCCTGCTGGAGCTGATTGAGGATTTCAGTATTCTTCTTCTCCAACTGCAGGTGAAATGTTACATGAAGAAAGACCAGAAGGAAGAAATGTTCATGTTTAAGACACAAAAATAATAACATTTTATTTAAGCGGTAAATACATTTTGTAACAGTTTTAGTATTAAATGTAAAGAGATAAAAAAAAAAGATAAAAAAATGTTGGAAAATGTACCTCTTTAAGTTTTGCTTCTTGTTCCACATTCCTCTTCTTCTCATCCTGGAGCTCATTTTCCAGCTGCAGACAGGAGGGAGAGACATCACAGCTTTTAATAGACAAAGACACACAAAACATATAACAAATGACAAATATCAACCTTTTCTTTATCATTCTGCAGGTCGCCAAGTTCATTTTCAGCATCCTCCCTCCTCTGTTGTTCCTCCTGGAGCTGCAGCCTTGAAGTTATTGGCAACTTCCATTGAGAGATGGCAGAGATTACAAGATAATACATCCATCCATCCATCTTCATCCGCTTTATCCGAGGCCGGGTCGCGGGGCAGCAGCCTAAGCAAAGAGGCCCAGACCTCCCTCTCCCCAGCCACCTCCTCCAGCTTATCCGGGGGAATACCAAGGCGTTCCCAGGCCAGCCGAGAGATATAATCTCTCCAGCGTGTCCTGGGTCTGCCCCGGGGCCTCCTCCCGGTGGGACATGCCTGGAACACCTCACCCAGGAGGCGCCCAGGGGGCATCCTTGTCAGATGCCCGAACCACCTCAGCTGGCTCCTTTCGATGTGGAGCAGCAGCTGCTCTACTCTGAGCCCCTCCCGGATGGCCGAACTTCTCACCCTATCTCTAAGGGAGAGGCCAGCCACCCTTCGGAGGAAGCTCATTTCTGCCGCTTGTATCCGCGATCTCGTTCTTTCGGTCACTACCCACAGCTCGTGGCCATAGGTGAGGGTAGGGATGTAGATCGACCGGTAAATTGAGAGCTTCGCTTTTACACTGAGCTCCCTCTTCACCACGACGGACCAGTGCAGCGTCCGCATTACTGCAGCTGCAGCCCCAATCCGTCTGTCGATCTCCGGCTCCCTTCTCCCATCACTCGCGAACAAGACCCCGAGATACTTGAACTCCTCCACTTGGGGCAGGAACTCATCCCCGACCCGGAGTGGGCACTCCACCCTTTTCCGGCTGAGAACCATGGCCTCAGATTTGGAGGTGCTGATCCTCATTCCCGCTCCTTCACACTCGGCTGCGAACTGTTCTAGTGCGAGCTGGAGGCCCTCACCCGATGAAGCCAACAGAACCACATCATCCGCAAAAATCAGAGATGAGATTCTGAGGCCACCAAAGCGAAAGCCCTCCGCCACTTGGCTGCGCCTAGAAATCCTGTCCATAAAAATTATGAACAGAACCGGAGACAAAGGGCAGCCCTGGCGGAGCCCATCACCCACCGGGAACGAGTCCGACTTATTGCCGGCAATGCGAACCAAGCTCTTGCAACGGTTGTATAGGGATCGAATGGCCCGTAGCAATGGGCCAGACACCCCATACTCCCGCAACACCTCCCACAGGACACCCCGAGGGACACGGTCGAATGCCTTCTCCAAGTCCACAAAACACATGTAGACTGGTTGGGCAAACTCCCATGCACCCTCAAGTATCCTCGAGAGGATAAAGAGCTGGTCCAGTGTTCCGCGACCAGGACGAAAACCGCATTGTTCCTCCTGTATCCGAGGTTCGACTAGCGGACGAACTCTCCTTTCCAGCACCCTGGCATAGACTTTCCCCGGGAGGCTGAGGAGTGTGATCCCCCTGTAGTTGGAACACACCCTCCGGTCCCCCTTCTTAAAGATGGGGACCACCACCCCGGTCTGCCAGTCCACAGGTACTGCCCCTGATCTCCACGCAACATTGCAGAGGCGTGTCAACCAGGACAGCCCTACAACGTCCAGAGCCTTCAGGAACTCGGGGCGGACCTCATCAACACCAGGGGCTCTGCCACCAAGGAGTTGTTTAACTGCCTCAGTGACCTCGCCCCCGGAAATTGGCGGGTCATTCCCCTCATCCCCAGACTCTGCTTCCTCCTCGGAAGACGTGTCAGTGGGATTAAGGAGGTCCTCGAAGTATTCCTTCCACCGCCTGACAATTTTCTCAGTCGACGTCAGCAGCGCTCCGCCAGCACTATGCACAGTGCAGGTAGAGCACCGCTTTCCCCTCCTGAGACGCCTGACGGTTTGCCAGAATCTCTTCGAGGCAGTCTGAAAGTCTTTTTCCATGGCCTCTCCGAACTCCTCGCACACCCGAGTTTTTGCTTCAGCCACTGCCCGAGACGCATTCCGCTTGGCCTGTCGATACCTGTCGGCTGCCTCCGGAGTCCCACAGGCTAACCAAGCCCGATAGGTCTCCTTCTTCAGCCTGGTGGCTCTCTTCACCTCTGGTGTCCACCATTTGGTTCGGGGATTACCACCACGGCAGGCACCAACCACCTTGCGGCCGCAGCTCAATGCAGCAGCTTCGGCAATGGAGACGCTGAACATGGTCCATTCAGACTCAATGTCCCTAGTCTCCCTCTGAATGCTGTTGAAGCTCTGCCGGAGGTGTGCGTTGAAGATCTCGCGGACTGGGGCCTGTGCTAGACGTTCCCAGCACACCCTCACTACGCATTTAGGTGCACCAGGTCTGTCCAGCGTCCTCCCCCGCCACCTTATCCAACTCACCACCAGGTGGTGATCAGTTGACAGCTCAGCCCCTCTCTTTACCCGAGTGTCC